TTAAAAGCAGAATATAGTTTAAAAGATTTACATTTATTTTTTCTTTAGCAATCTCTATTTCAAAACTTGTTACACTTCTAATTTTTTCTTCCCATTCTTTAGAATGAAAGTGAGAGACTAATGTCAATAAAAAGAAAAACAATTTATTGATATGTAGCTAAATAGCATAAGATTCATTACAAGTTAATATAAAGTGAACAAAAAGCAGAAGAAAGAAAAAAAAATGGTGGTAAAATTGAAGCATTATTCAACAACTCATATAATATTCTCTTCTTCCTCAGATCTCAAAAATAAACTCAGAGAAACAAATCATCTTCCTTGTCACAGATTTAAAAATAAAAGAAAATAAAAGATTCCATTTTAAAATTTCTCAAGAAAACTGTTTATTTATTCTGAATCCTCTCAGAAACTGATTTTAGTTTCTCTTCTCTTGGTGATTGAGACTCTGTTTCCAGAAGATGCAAAGACACTTGTTTAAACATTAATGGACCACCTTTGGGCATGACAGGGACAAGTTGCAATGTACATGAAAATCTCTCCGAGAGAGCACAATATCATATCACTAAAATCGAGGAACAACTAAAACAATGTCAGATTACTCAAACAAAAGATGTAAAACGGTTACACTTAGAATGCATACTTTTAAGCTTTCCAAAAAATTTCAAGATTATGCCTGATCAAAGAGAAACAACTTTAATAATATGGAATTTTTTGATGTAATGGAATAACCTGTCACTCCCATGAGTGACTACACTATAGATAGTAACTACCTATAAGTCAATGGACTACAGAGTCTAGCTAGGATCTGTTGAGTATGACTCAGACTTAAGAAAGAACTACTGACCTTCCAATAGTAGCACTCACTACTGGATTGACTTGTGATGACCTTTGTGCATAACTGTTACCTTTATTCTTATTGTATTGGTTTTTACAATACTTATTTTATCCATCGAGTCTGTCAAGTATATATTCCTATTAGCACGGAATATAAGATTTTTTTACCAAAATAATTAAGAAAAACAATAATAATAAAAGAAATTAGTGGGTGAAAGTACAACTCTACCTTTTATAGTTCCATTCTTGACTTGATCATTCAGTTTTATTTACAAAATACCAATCTTATACTACAATCATTTCCTACTTCTATGTTCAGTGTCCCTTCAGGATATTGACGATCATGGATCTCCACAATTTCCTGTCCATGTAGCTCTTAATAACTTTTATTTTTTTGTTATCTCACCTAAATCTCATTCTGTCATCCATTTACTCAAGCTCGCTAGGTAGTCTATATTTCTGAGATGAGGTATTATGTACAGTATTTACATGAGTCGGACTATTGTCCTCATCTTTGTCGCCATATTTGTCACAACGTTTCGGCCGTTGTACGCTCCGGCCTTCTTCGCTATGTAGGTTATGCATTTTTTCTTCTCTCTTGCCTTCAATTTGTCCTGTGAGTAGCAAATTTTCTAAGCCCTCTTTCCTCATTATGTGCCCTAGAAATTCCAACTATCGCTTTCTGATAAGTATATGTCTCCTTTATGTTTCCATTTTCTCCAAAACTTTGTTGTTGCTCACATGTTCTACCATAGTATTCTCAGCATCCTTCTGTAGAACCACATTTCTGTTGCTTCAAGTCTCTTCTTCATCTGTGTGGACATTGAGATATCATAGTGAATGCTGGACAATGAAAACATCTATTAAAAATTTTCCAATGATATACATATTGGCATGAAAGAAAGAAAAATATGACATTCAAATACTGAACACACAAAAAAAGAAATAAAAACTATTTCAAAATTGTTTATCCAAACCCATTCTGCTCTAGGTGTATTTTCAAATTTTATCTGAAAAAAATGAATCCATTTATTTTTTATTTTAATAAAAGAATGTACTGAATTTTTTCCCAAAGAATCAACACTTATCCGAAATTGTGCATTTTGTTTTTATCTTTTTATTTTTTCTATAAATATTAATGATTTTTTTAAGTATTTTTATGTTTCCTTTCCTATAGATAATTCTAGAAAGATTATTTAATACAGATCATGATACATTCTATGACAGGCTTCAGTTTAAACACAATAATGTTCAATCAAACCATTAACTTCCAAAAATGAATTTAAAATTTTAATTTCAGAAAAAAAATGACCTATTATAAACCAGAATATCTATGCATATTTAAGAATATACATAACAGTGAAACTGTCTAAATTGTATAGTTAAGAAAGATCTTTGTGGTAAAATAATGACCCTCATTCAATTTAATGCTAGTCTTTGTGGTAAAATAATGACCCTCATTCAATTTAATGCTAGTCTTTGTGGTAAAATAATGACCCTCATTCAATTTAATGCTGTCATGTGAAATCTGGTAGAGTTAATTTTAATAATTTTTCTTTGCATATAAAAAAATACTTAATTTTTAGAAAATAATCCAGATTACATCTCTAAATTAAGAATTGGAAAACAGGTATTTATTAAAATGAAAATATCATTCACTATAATTATTATGAATCATAAATTTTAATTTCTTATAAATTTACACAGCAAACTTATTTAATACTAAACAGATAAAATATTATTATTCCTTTGTTGCAGTCATACAGAAAATATATTAAGTTATTTAATTTTTAATCTTAAATTGTTTTTAACTTTTTAGATGATTTCTTACTAGTATTTTTCCATCTTAATTTCATTTGATTTACATCTAGCAGTAGACATAATGGTGCTGTCTAAATTCATTTGATGAAGTATTATCCATATTAATTTTTGATTGTTTTTTTTCAGTTTTATTTTGGTTCTTTAAAAAGAAAATTACATTAGAAACAAAGAAAAGAATACTGAACAGTTATGTAATATCAGTCCTTATATGTGACAGTGAATACAGGACAATCTTCTCACAGAGATGAAGAAAAGCCTGAAGGCAACAGAAATATGGTTCTACAGAAGGATGCTAAGAATGTTATGGACTGAACATGTGGGCACCAATAAACTTTTAGAGAAAATGGAATCAAAAAATGACACATATTTAGCAATGTGAAGAGACAACTGAAATTTCTCAGCTACATAATGATGGAAGATGACTTAGAAAATTTGACACTCACACTTCATACTGAAGGCAAGAGGAATAGAGAAAAACAATGCCTAATCTATCTTGTAAGCTTGAGTAAAGGGAGTGTGGAACAATGTTTCGGAAAAATAACAAAAAGACAAAATTTATTAAGAGCTGCAAAGAACCAGCAATTGAGGAGGGCCATGATCACCAATGTCCTGAAGGGACAAGACACATAGAAAAAGAAGTAGTAATATATATATATATATATATATATATATATATATATATAATAATCTGAAATTGTCTGAACTTCTTAAAAGAAACATTGGACTTAATAGTTTTAAATTAGTTGTTCATCTTTTTGCTTTATTTTTCTTCATTTTTATATCACGATGCTCACATCTTTTTTTCCCTGTAGTTCTTGAATCAGCAACTTAAATCAGAAGTAAAGAATATACTTTAATTCCCATCCATTGGGAGACTGTCTTTCTGTGATAGTGCCATAACAATTTGGTTACAAATGTTTACCAGCAGATGCCATTTAAAATTAGCTGGAGATCTACATTGATTTTTGTGGATTTTTGCTTCTTTGTTTACACGAGTAATGTAATAGTTTAAAGTTTGAAACCTTAGAGCTATGATAAAAACATGATGAAAGTCAAAAATTATTATGGTTGGGGCTGTGTTTGCATGGAAATATTTTAGAGACAATTAATTTTTATTAACAGCAAAAACAAAAATAGAAAGCAGATGCTTTGTTTAAGGTTTTGCCCAGTTAATCTTTTTTTTATTAAAAAATGCATGATTTTTTTTTTTTTTTATGCTGAGTATAGTTTTTTAAATTCTCAAAACATTTGTCCAAGATGGAATATTAGAATAGGTTTAGTTTTGGATAATTAAAAAAACGTTTGAGGATTTCAATTTTTTTCTTTATTTCCTGTCTGGATAACCGAGGAAGTACCGTAGGAATTAACCATATAAAATATCAAGAAAAATTATTTGTATCAGTGGGACACAAAATGTTAATGCCAAATAATTGATATGGGAAGAAGAGAGACTGAACATCATAAAGAAATAAAAGGGAGCTTTACTTGTTTTTAGGACAATATTACTTAAAACTTACTTAAAAGAAATATCAGTGCAAACTAATTACAGTCAAGATCACAGAGTCCACAATTCCATACTGCAATTAATTGTGAACTACATAAACCTTGGTATAGGGCTGTATTGTATGGATTAGAAAAGGCTAAATGTAATTTTAAATTCAGAGTTGCTCTCCTCCTTGACTGGTTGCTAACTACAGTGAGAGAGCCCAGGTTTCCTTGATAATTAATAAAAAGATCTGGGAGTGGGGAGAAGAAAAGGATTCATACTTTTACCAAAGGTTTTTGTGTAAATGTGAATGTAATATATTCAACCAGAATTTGAACTTGGCTCACCAATTCTCTTTCTGAGATGCTAACCCACATATACTTTATACATCCTTCAATATTTCAGCTATAGGCAATGGAGACAAATCTATTGATTGATTGATTGATTTTCTATGATTTATCAATTCTTTACAGATTATTTAAAGCCAGAAAATATTTTTAGATTGTAAAAAATTTTTTTTGAGATAATAATGATTTACTTACATTATTCAGACTGTTATCCTCATCTACACTGTCATATTCACACCATTTCAGCAATTGACCGCTTCAGCCTTCTTCAGGTAATTGGAATTTCAAAATAATGTAAGTAATCATAATACCTCATGTCAGAGATATAGACAAATAATGATTTAGTAATACAAGTCTTACTAATTAACTTTTAGGGGGAGAAGAGGTGGATCCATACTTTTCCAAAGGGTATTTGCATATAAGTGAATATACCAAACCAAAAGGGAATTGGAACTAGGCTCTCCAATTAACAATTCCAAGCCATTATCCATTACACCACCTGCATATTCAAGCTTACAGCACCTGGTATTTCCAACTGGTCACCCATCTAGGTACAGACCAGGCTCAACTTTGTTTAACTTTAATGATCATACTGGAACCAGTGTTTCAACCAGACAAGTCTATAAACAAAAACAGACTGGCATTTGACAACATCCTGTACAGAATTGGAAATACTTTTTCTTTTTATTTAAAATAAAAAAAACTTATCTCTTTTTATTTTTAATTCTGTAACAGCCATTTTCTCTTGTCCTATCATGTTTTAATTTAATTAAGTAATTCTGTCTCCATTTTTTTTTATCTTCTTCTTAGGATAAATCTTTCCGGGTAATTTCCAGGTAATAAGATATTTTTAACATCTTTTGATATTTATACTGCTCATGATTAATGAACATTCTTATATTTGTTATGTCTACATAGTAGATTAGTTAGAAGAAACATTTAAATCTTAAGCTGATCTTTCATTTTACACTCTATAAAAATGATAACTCACTCGAAGCCAAGAATATTTATTTACTAAGCATCAGCTTATTTTTGGTACAATGCTATATGTACAAGGCACTGAGTGATGACTAAACAAAAAACTCAGTAGTCTGCATGAACAGTTTGCTAATTACTACATCATATGAGATGACCATCACAACTGAGAGTAGGTAGACAGTTCTCATCCTTTTTCTCCTGCATGAAACTGATATCATACACTATAAAATCAGCACTTCAAAAATTCATTCAAACAAACTTAAATCAAAGGGAGATAAATCAGATCACGGAACTAATAAATTAAGAAAAAACACCCCACAGAGAAAAACCCATGTTCATCAACCTCGACAAAACAAATACATGCTTTTTTCAGATATTACAATTTTAAACAAAAATTTCCTTCTGATCATGTGAATGTGTGTGTGTGCATATAATTTTTTTTTCTAATATAAATTATCATGTTTTCTTTTATGTTTACAGAAATGCAAGGAGACTTGTGGGCCTCCACTGAATAATTTATGATACCCCCACCCACTCAATCTATGATATGGAGTTCCCCACTCTACTGTCTGAATTTTCATAAGGTATTATTCATATAAAATACAAATTTTATTGTAACCTAATTATGTACAATAATGGATTATATGCAATATAGGTGAACAATTAAACTAGAAAAATTGAAAATAAATACAATTTATCTAAATACAAACCGGAGACATGTCATAATAGATCATTCTGTCTTAAATAAATCAACAATGTTTTGTAGCAATTTTTAACATTAACTTGACATTTTTCTTGTTAAAAAGTTGAAAAATTTTGACACATTCCACATGATGCATAAAAAATAGTGAATTTTATATTGTGTTCTTTTTTGACACTTAGCATGAGTAAAAGACATTCATAGATTTGTATGAAAAAAACAAGACCCCAGAATGACATTGGTTGTACTTAGTTTAATTTGTAATGTATATAAATGTAGGTAGAAAAAAAAATCAAATGTTCATAAGATAGCGAGGATCACAAAGCACTGCCTGGGGTTCCGCAATCAGGCATGCCTCATCCTAGTTTTTTTGGGCGGGTGGGGATGAGGTGTTATGTAGTATGCACTGGCCCTGTTTAGAAGTGAACAAATTTTACAAATGTATACAATTTCATAGAGTAAACACAATTTCTATTTTCTTAAATCTTTCTAACATCACAAGGATTTTGACAATAAAATTTACTTCTATAAAAACTTGGACATTTTTTTTTAAATCTGCTATTAATTTCTGTCCAAATGTTTTGTACATATCAACTGTATAACAATAATTTACATAACATTTATATTATATTAAGTATCATAAATGGTCAAGAGATAATTTAAAGCATACAGCTGAATGTGTGCAAATCTGGCACCATTTAATAGAAAGGAATTAAGAATTTACACATTTTAGTTGTCAAAAGATTTCCTGGAACCAATTTCATGTTGATACTGAGCGACAACTGTTATCTATCTAGTAATAGATAAAATCATAATTACAATAACTTCTTATTCTGTTAGTGACAATTACCGCACCAGGATTTTTAAAAAAATTCACACTGGACATCAAAATTAATTTATGAATGCCTGACTTATAATCCAGTATCAATTGTAAAAATTAAAATAAAATACTGTATTAAATATAGGTTTCTAAAAGAAAAATCAATTTTAAATTTAGAAAAATCTGGTATTAATTATAAATTTCTACCTGTAACACATAAATGCCCATTTTCTCCCAAATGGGAGTGTATGCATTAAGAAGTTAAATACTGTTATCTTTATTTTGTAGCTGAGATGAGAAGATTTTGAAGAAATAAAATGTCTCCGGAATTTCGTCAATAGGAAGTTAAAAATTTTCTACACTGGTTGGACAAATCATTTTAAAAGCATACTAATATTTTGTATGTTTTGCTTAATTTTATCATAGTGAAGCAAGCAGTAGGCTTATGGCCATATGATATTGAAACACCAGTTCTTGTACTGAAGTTAAGCAATGTTGAGCCTGGTCAGCTTGGGAATAACAGGTGTTATAAGCTTGGATGTGCAGCTGCTGTAATGGATAACAGTTTGGAATTGAAAATTGGATAGCAGAATTCCAAATACAGTCAGGTGTTATTTTCACTTATGCACAAATACCCTTGGGAAAGGCAAGAATCTATCTCTTCTCCTCCCAGATATGAGTTAATTAATAGGATTTGTATTAGTAAATCCTTATGATCTCCAAAAATACAAAAAAAAATTCTTTCAAGCAAAAAATATTTTCTGGCTTTAAATAACCTGCAAAAGGTTGATAAGCCATAAAAAAAAAAAAAACAAATCAATCAACGAAGCAAGCAATGGGTATTGAACTCAAGACAATACTACCCCATAGCATGGAGACCAACAAATCTTATCAACAGGTTTATATTTTCAGTTAAAATATTTACAGGAACTACTTCTTCAGGTGGTTGAGTCATGGCTCTCCACAACTTTCTATCATTTGTAGCTATCAGTAACTTTTGTCTTTTTGCCATTCCTTCCTACCACATTCCAACATTCATTCACACAAGCTTGTCAGGTGTCTCACTGTCTTCAATATGTCCTGTGAATATCAAATTCTCCAAGCCCTCCTTCCTCATTGTGTCCAAGAAATTTCAGTAAACTCTTTCTGATTCTGAGTGACCTTGTTGTTTCTGTTTTCACTAAGACTTAGGAACTGTTAATATTAAATGATGGTTAAGCTATATAAATAAAGTGCAGTGTAGGTGTGTCTGTCCAACCATCCATCCATTTTTCAATCTTGGTGAATTATAAACAACTTAAAGTAACAGATAGTAACTACTGTAGTTACACACAATTAAAAATTAAACAAATAATTCATTTAAAGTTAGATTTAAATATCAAACAGAGTGAAAAGTTCAAAAAACAATTCTTTTTTAAAGGTTTAACTCTAATTTCACTTTTTATTGCAATTGATATTGTCTAATTAAACCATAATTAAAACTTAAGGGTGACATGGCACATTGCTCATATGTTCTTTTTCTTTTTTTAGCATGTATACTGTGACATATTTGAAATATTATATAGGTCGGGTCCCCTAATGTCTTTTAAGAGTGACTTTATGTGAGGTGATCATAAAGAATGGTAATTTTAAAAGAAAATAATTTTATTATTTCTAAATTCTTATACACAGAAAATGAATAGAAACATTAAAATAAAGTAAGTTCATATTTTTGTGTGTATTTTTTTTAATTTATGTTTTTATTTAAAAATTTTGCTAAGTGTGCTGTGATATTTTCATTTGTTCCTAGGTGTGCCATTGCTTAAAAAGGTTAAGAAACACAGCTCTATAAAAATAAAATTTTTATCTGCATATCAGCAAAATTAGTTTCCCAAGCAAAATGAACTGTTTAATTAATCAGTTCCTTTACTTCTATGTTTCTTAGATTACAGTCTTATTTGTTCAAGCCTTTCATGTGAGGCACTCAGATATTTTTGTCTATCAACTGATCATGCTTCAACTGGGTCTCAAAATAGGCTTTGTCATTTCTGTTGCTAATCTTTTTCTTCTGAAAAATATTTCCTGTTCACTGTTATATTAGATACATAAAATTCTTAACATGAAAAGAGATAAAGTGAAAAGTGATTCATATAATACAAGGAGTAATCAATGAATCATAGATACTATTGAATGCCTAAAAAATATAAGGTGAACAGATGAATTAAACAGTTCACTGGCTTCTATTTTAGTTTTGAATTCTTTATTTCCACTTTATTGAATTTCAGTACATTGTTTCAATAGTTTTGTTTCATTGCATCTGACTCTTAAAACTTTTTAACAATTGACGTCATTTTTGATGGAATGGGTACACTAGTCCTCATATAATTCTGTAGTTGGCAAGTGACAAGTGTTAATAAAGAAAATTGACCAGGTATAGTCATCAGAAATCCTTTAACTCACTATATTAATAAGATAATTTTGTTGTTTTTTTAATCATTTCACCCCCAAGTAAGGTGACAATGCCAGTACCGCACAAAGGGTTACAAGTAGTGAAAATGAAAGAGAATAAGAAAACTGAGAATGGGGAGGATTTAGGAAAGGTCAAAAAAGAGGAACAGGGTTCAAGAAGACAGAAGATGGTGATTGATGCTGCATTTAAAATTTTGAAGATTGTAATTATCAGGGAAGCAAGAAATCAGAAATGATTTCCACATGTGAGGAGTGTAAGTAAAGAAACTGTTAGAGTAGAAGCTCAAAAGTAAATATGGTGAGACCTAGTGAGACAAATCTAGTAGTATACATAAATTCATGTAGTTGAAACACCAGGGAAAAAAAAGCTCATCAGAGCAGTTAACATGAAAATATATCTTTGAAAGAAAAGATCAAAATCATCAATTACCCTTAATCTGATAAGGTTTAGTTTACAAATCTATTCACTGATCTTTAGTTTTTCTAGTTCACATGAAAAAAAATAAACAAACAAAAATAAAAAACGTATCTGTCTTTCTTTGTCAAGGTGATGAAAAATTTAAATATTCCATTTTAGAACTTTTTTGAACTTATCTGGGCATTATATCAGTGCTCAAATTCCATTACTCTTAGCTTCCAGAAGCAAATAAGATTGCATTGCATTC